TGTTAAATTATGCAGAATGGATAGAAGACGATAGGGGGGGTGGATTGTTTCAAGAGAACCCACTGAGCAGAGGTGGGACCAAGTCATTGTTTTGCAAGTCTCAAGTCTTTATCCTCAAGTCAAGTCAGGCAAGTCCGAGTCAAGTCACAAGTCTGAAACTTTGAATTTCAAGTCCTTTCGAGTCTTTAAAAAAAAAGAAAGAGAGAAAAGCATGTTGCAGTTATGCTAAATGTAAATATTAGACCATGTGATTTTTAAATATGTGTTTTTCTCAACACATGACAAAATAGTGAACTTAGAAAATATACACAAATTGTGAAATTGCACCTCTTTAAAATGCAGCTCAATTAAACCTAGCTCCAAGAATAATTTTCACCGACAGTTCTGAGATAAGCTGCATGTTGTTCTTGGATGCGCTTATAGGGCCGGCTTAAAAATCGCATGACAAAAATATCATACACATTAAAAAAAACTGAATCACCAACGTAGCCTGGACAACATTTGCTAGTTAGATGAAGTCAGCTATCTCATCGTAGCATATTTATATGCATATTTATAATTATACGGTTCTTGGAGTGAGTGCATACACTCATGAAGTTTAGTAACTTCAGGTCACTGCAACAAGCCCAGGTACAGTTTACCGACGGATGGGTGCAGGACCTTGAAACGCACCGTGTAGAAAGTAAAGACCATCGTACCATAAGTTTACCAGTCTCACAAATTGTCTTCATAAATACACATTTGTTAACCGTTTATTAATAGGACCTTTGAGCTCAATGGTAATTAGCAGTGGAAATAATTTCTGGTAGCATCACAGAAATGTAGCAGTGACAATAATATTGTATGCTGTAATCGTACTGGACAATTAGTGATACAAAAACCCTGTTTTATCCTGTGAATAAAAGTATATGTTTTTGTCAATGTACCATAATAACAGAAGCGAAACACAATATTGTGTCAGGACAATTCACTATTTATGCACAATAAATAAAGGAGCATAGCGTGACAATTTCTGTTCAGCGCCAGACTTGCTTGTAACCTATATCACCAATTATGTTAAGAAAAATGACGCATTAACTACAACAGCAGACTGACCTTTGTGTAAATGCTTGGAGCAGACTAACCTGTGAGCTGGAGTGTTCTGGGACGTTATATTTGGTCTTTGAATGGCTGCAATCCAGTCGCCTCTTTGTTACTTCGGAAACATGGTTCGAACAATTTCTCTTCCACAACGTAATCTGATAACAACCGATCTCTTTACCCGTCGGCTTTCCGTGGCTGTCATGCGACCGGCTATTGCAGTTAATAATACAACAGCTTCTTGGCATTTTTTGTTTCTTTTTATCGCTGTGTAACTGATTTCAATTGAAAGCCTGCGTGCGCTAGTACCTCTTGCCACGAGTTCCCAGAATCCTTTGCGGTTCTACCCCTGAATGACGTCACATTTTAAATCTCTATATAATATGCATGTTAAATTTTATATTTGGGGTGAAATATCAAGTCTTTTCAAGTAAACCGGTTCAAGTCCAATTCAAGTCCCAGGTCATTGGTGTAAAAGTCCAAGTCAAGTCACAAGTCTTAGAACATTTTTTCAAGTCAAGTCTAAAGTCATAAAATTAATGACTCGAATGTGACTCGAGTCCACACCTCTGCCACTGAGTGTCTACATGTTCTGTCTCTGGGACACTGTCCCCCTCCTGCCTAATTGGTATGCTGACTGGCAGGTGTAAGCTCTTCCTCATTTCAAGCCAAGTCTTCTCTCTCACACTTGCTTGCTCTTCTCAGTCTCTTCCCTTCTGCTTTTCCTCTATCTTAATAACTTATACAAGTACTGCACATGGTACTGTTAACTTTAGATTAGAGCTGGGCGATAGAACGATAACGATATGTATCGCGATATAACTTTTACTCGATAGAGAAATTAAGCTATCCCGATAGACCTCGCTGCTCTTGTCCTCAAAAAAAAAAAAAAGGTCAGCCAATCCAAATTAAGTAGCGCAGAGCCGAACCAATCACAGCCGCAGCGTCACATCGCGTGACTTGTTACGTACAGCACAAGTGCCAAGCCGCACGTGTGTTTGTTTGGGAAGCAGCCAGCGGGTAATGGAGCCAGCGCGTAATGGAGGAAATGAGTGTGCCGACTAGAAAAATCAACCGAGCGTGACCGAAGAGAAAACATGATGGTTCCAATGCCGGAGAGATTGTCGAACGGAAGAGCCATAGAAGTTCCGTAGGGTGAAGGTATTTCGGCTATTTCAAGTCTGACAAAAAACAGAGTAGCGTGCACTGTAAATTGTGCCGAAAGCAAGTCTGGAAATACAATAAACTGGTGCATGCGTCACACTGTGCGCCACGTTATTGTTTCTGTGAAATGAATTTCTACAATACTGTTACTGTTAATTCTACTCTCTGCAGTGTTTAAATGCTTACATATACACACAGTTACTGTCCCTCCACACATACGACTCGGTTCTGCTTCTATGCCCCAGCTTTGTTTACTTTTTCCCACCGAGGCTTCTAGACTTCTGATTGGCCAACATTTCTGCATGGTTAGGAATCTAGCGCCACCTGCTGCTTTGGCATGTTCATAGCAGCGTTTTCCTTCATTTCTGCCTTTATGTGTGGACGGGATTATTTTTTAAAACGAAAACGGAAAATCTCAGTTTTCACAAATACCCGTGTACGTAGCCTCAGTCTCTGACTGGAAGCGCTAATTCGTCATTCGGCTTTTGTCAGACTAAAGTAACTGTTAAAACTGTTTGAAAAGCTCAGCTATACAACAAGGAGAGATTGAGAATTTCCTTTTAGTTCTCAGTTTATTTGATATTGAAAAAAGTTAGTCAGTTTTGTCTGTTCTTCTGTAAAACAAACTAAGATTTATTTTTAGAATTAATATTTTGTTTCTAAGTGGAATTGACAATTTAGTCTGTTTCGTTTGTTCTATTTTGAAACTTAAACGCTTTAGCGGCTGCCTTTTGTGTAGTTTGCATTATTTGCCTTTATTTATCTGAAAAAGTCTCATGTTCCTTAAGTACATCTACCCTGTTGAACTTATTATGGGAAATAAATATTTAAATAAAAACAAGCTGCTGATTATTTCACATTTTACTTGTGAGCAACGGCACATTTAAATCTTACAAATATAGTTATTTGGCTTATATCGTGATAGATATCGTTATCGCCTGAAATGAAAAAAACATATCGTGATATGAAAAAATCTCATATCGCCCAGCTCTACTTTAGATGTTCAAAATCTTGAAATAACAATCTTCATTATTTTGTTAATAGATTTTTGTAGCCATGTTATTTTAATTAGTATGGCTTCTTTGGGGGGTTTGGCTTTTGGTGAACAGCCAAAATTGTTTTTAGCTAGTGGGTCTTAGTAACTGTTCAGACTAACCCTCATATATTCTACTGTAAAAATACAAATATATGTCAACATGTAATTGCATTTGTTATGTAAATAAGATAAATTAATGCATTTATAGATTAATAATTTCCCAAAATTGACTGTCTCCATTTAAAGCAGCGGTAAGCACTACCGGAACTGTTTTAAGTCCCGTGCATCACGTGACACCCCGAAGTCTGAACCCACTGTTGGGAACGACCCTCCGGCACTTGCCAGTAGTGATGGGATTTCCGGATCTTTTTAGAGAACCGGCTCTTTCGGCTTGACTCACTAAAGAGTCAGCTCTTTCAGCTCCCAACCGGCTCTTCAGGTTGTTTTGTTGCTTTAACTATCAACAACAATATACAATTATGCACAAAAGGAATTAGTAATATAAAGAAACGTGGTTTTCTTTATGCATGTATGTGTGTGTATATATATAAATAAATAAATATTTATGGGGGTCCCTAGAGACGAAATGCGTCCAAAACTACAAAGCACTTAGATTATCTATCTATCTCAACACGGCCCCTAGCATCCTGGAGCACTTCCGTTGTGTTTTGGAGTTTGTACGTGCTTTGTCTCTAGGGGCCACTGTAAATATACTTTTATTTATTCACTCCACAAAATGTAATAAATAAAATACAAAAACCAACTATTTACATTTCAACTTTTAACTACTTCAATTTTCAGCTTTTTCCTTTTAAACAAATATAAAGTGAAGCAACACAAAACACTGCAAACCACAACACAATAAAATATGAAAAAAAAAAGAACGCTCAGATCTTTAATTAAGGGGGACGTTGGCATTTAGAAATATTAATATCACACTCAACTGACTTCGTTTTATCTTCCCATTGCACTGATGGTTCTTAGGTGCCTGTGCATGTTGTTTGTGGAGCCGGCTCTATATGATATCCTTTTCTTGTAGACTCTACACTCTGCCTTTGTTTTGTCAATAAGATTGAAATGGTTCCAGGCTTTGCTTCTTTTCTTGGTGTCACTCATTTTCTTTACTGTACCTTTCCAATGTGATGGTGTTGTCTCTTGTTGCTCCTGGCTCTCTTTCTTTCCCTCTCCCTCCTGCTCTTGTTGTGTGCTGATATGAGTGTAACTACGGCCCTGCCCCCTCAGCTCAGCGCTGGGGGGAGGGGTGCAAATGCAAGGCTCTGTTTGCCATCTCTTCTCAGCGCAAACACAAGGGTGACTTGCAGCGTGAAGCAAAAAAAAGTGAAAGAGAGGGCAGGAGAAGGGAAAAAACAAAAACAAAAACCCCGACTACCAATAAGGAGTCGGATCGCATCGTTCACTTCAAAGAATCGGATCTAAGAGCCATTTCGTTCGCGACCGACCCATCACTACTTGCCAGCCAATAGCTAGGTTTCATTTGACGTAGACTTGACGTCGACGTAAAGCGCGAAATTTGACTGGCGGTCGGAAGTGAAAAAGATAAGCGCAAAATCACAGACAGACAGTACGCAAAATGCCTATGTCCTGTTGTGTTTACGGATGCTCCAGTAGGTCGACCAGAGAAACTGATAAACGGTATTTTAGGGTACCAAAAATAGCCCAACGAAGAGGAGAAAAATGGAAAATTCTAACCGAAAAACGTAGGAAAAAATGGATTTTAAATTTACGTTTACAGTCGGGAGGAGCAGAGTCTGCCAATGCCCGTGTCTGCAGCGACCACTTCGTCAGAGGTAATGTTATGTTTGCAAACGAACTTATTAGCATTAGGTTGTCGTTAAATTCTCGTTTACTTAGTGCTTTTAAGTTAGTAGTCTAATATTGACTTGATTGGGACTATAGGCTGCCCAAGTGCTTTGGATGACGAAGAGTCGGAGGACTGGGCTCCGACGGTCAATCTCGGCTACGAACGAAAACCCAGATCGGAATCAGTTCTCAAACGAGAGAAAAGAATGAAGCTTAAGGCAGAACAGCATCGATGTGCAGAGGCGATTTTGGATATGCAACAGACGGCTGAGAGCCCGGATTTGAGCCTAGTGACAGTGGAGAACAGGCTACTAACCCTGCCATACAATTGCAATGAGCTGCAATCACTTCTCCATCCTCCTTTGCAATTACCCAAGTCTTCAGAGGTGTCTCGTTAGACCGCTGAGAATGGTTTACCTTGAAACAAACAACTGTCACTCTAACGAAGTCCTAAGGATGTGGCATGTTTGTTGACGTTAAAGCCGCTACCGCTAACTGTTAGCGTGTTTAAGATAAAGCAATATAAGAACAAACACTCACCCTTGCAAACACCAAACTGTATCCATCACGGAGACGTTTTGTTCCAAGGTTGTGGACCCACCCGCTGACAAAAAAAATTGTACGCCTCCAGACTCTTGAAAGCTTTCATTTGCTGCCTAGTGTAGTAAGAAGTCTGGAGGACCAAGTAGTTGGTGATATCCACAGCCTCGATAGTAGGCAAATCCTTTACTTCTGTGGTGTATTCGGACATTTTCAAAGAATACGGATCACGTCCGATATATTTTTTAACTATCTGTTTATATCTCTCCCGAGAAACGGGGTCTAAAGTTGCACAATAGCTGCTCTCCTGACTCTCCACAGTGTCCTCCATGTTTACTTCCGCCCTCCACTCAAAAATCGCGCTGCCTCCGCACGTCATCAGAACCACGTGACCGCAACCCAACTATTCCATGAAAGGAGCGTGCTGACGTCTTATTTCGGCGCCCGTTGGAAATGTTTTTAATAGCCTTAGCCGTCTATATCCGACGATCAACTTATTCTGTCTTACTTTAAATCAAACGCTGAAGTCGTACCCAGACTTGGAATGTAAAATTTGTAATCTGTATGAAAGTCAAATGACTTCCGCGATTATATGTGCGATAAACATCCTCACCAGACCTCTTAAAGGTAAGTGGACTGTTTTACAGCGTTAATCTAAATAAACGCATGTATTCCGGAAGCACATCGGTTAAGTACATTGAATAATATAAAGCAAATATTTTAGCTGTCTTAACTTTTGCCTTTGGTCTCACAGTCGGTAGAGAACGTCTTTGGTTTAAGATAAGATAACCTTTATTAGTCCCACACGTGGGAAATTTGTTTTGTCACAGCAGGAAGTGGACAGTGCAAAAGTTATGACGCAAAAATTAGAATACAATAAGAATAAATACAGTACACAGCTGTACAGAATAGAATAAAATAATATACTATATACAGTAGAATAAAATAGAATAAAAATATACAATAAGATAAAAATAGAATACGAATGCTATATACAACTGAGTAAAAATACAACGATGCCAGAAAAGATTATTGCACTTAGTGTTATTGCACATGTGTGGATGTGTGTGTTTGTTTCTGGCTACAGCTGGTGATTTGTCAAAAAACAAACAAAAAAACAAAACAAAAACGAAAAAACCCCCAAGTTGATTTATAATTTTTAATTTATTCTCCAATACCTGCTTATATAATTATGATTATGATTCTGGAAGCTAAACGCTTCAAAACATCGTACCCCTAAAAGTAAAAAAGGATGACAGATGTACTTGAGGACACTTTTAATGTGTATATTATGATGTTTAGAGAAAACAAGCCCAATTATTATATATTGTTGTAGGATCTACCTTACAATATAAAGCGACTTGAGATGACTGATGTTGTGATTTGGTACTGTATTAATAAAACGGAATTGAATTGAATTTAATATTTTTCTCTCATTAAAAAAGGTTTATAGTGTTGTATAGAAGTTTTGTGTAGTGTGATGTTCTGTGTGTCTGCAGAGGTATCTGCACATGAGGCTCAACTGTCACATCAGGAGGTCCTTCTGGCAGCTCTGCGGGCCAACTGGGCCCATCTCCTGGAGCAACTTCAAAGGGAGAGCAACTTTGAGGTTGTGAAGAGGCTAAGGGAGGAGGTTAAGGCAACAGCAGATTGGTTCTGTGTGGATACAGATGATGCCACATGGGCTTTTGTCCAGGAATGCCTCCTGCTGCTACTCACGTTATCACGTCACCTTTCTGATGAACTGGAGCGTTTCCAACAGGATCAATCTTGCTTGGCACCAAAAAGTCGTACCCCTGAGATGGCCCCACCTTTAGCCCCTGACATCCTCAGCATCACCCAGCAGAAGACAATCGGAGCTGCTCTGCAGTTTGTGGTTTGTCTGGGGCTCTGCCCATACTTGGCCCCTGGAGTGGGTGTCCCACTAGGACGGAGGTCAGCTTTTGGAGCCATGGTGGAAAAACTAGTCCATGTGGGCCCGGTGTCTGGAATGGCACGCCGCCTTCTTACCACCACTAAGGTCCTGTTGGAGCTGGCAGAGTTATCGTCTCTTGCCACACTCGTGTTCACCCGATATCTGGGAGACATTATTGCAGCAATATGCCAGCTGGGATACATGCCACACCACAAGGATGAAAAGGTAATTATTGTTCTCACTGTCAGGATTATTTTTGCACAAATTGAAATGTCAGGGAATAATGACGTAACTGACTTAATAGTGGGGTAGGCAGGGTGGGAGATGGGTTTTTGTTTTTGTTTTTAATTTTTGAGACCCAGCAGTCTCTTTGGAAGATACTGTTTTAATTTTCTTTCGTTCTTCTTGAATGTTTTTTTTTTTTTAATGCAGCTGCTCAGTGCTGAGGAATGTCAAACATGTAAGGAGACCCTCAAGACCCTCCTTGGAAAAGTGTACCAGCCGATTGTCATCAAAGAGCTCCTTATTCTCCAAGGAGGAGCCAAACAGGTGATAATGACGGCATGGTTTTTATTTGACAAATATAAATTTGTGCTGCTGGATGGTGATTTGTTTGCTTGAAATCACCCCAAAGTTCAGACAAACTTCATCAAGGCTTATTGTTCTGATTTCCTCATTGGATCAATTCATTTGGGCTGCTGTGTAGGTCATGTTTTTTAATCTTATTCAATCTTTGTAAGCCTGTTTGTTTTTCACATAATAATAAAGATTTTACTTCAGAGGTCTCACTTTAGATGTCTCCTTCCTTTCAGTCTGGTCCAATTCAGAGCTCCAGTGGTTGCAGCTGCAGGGCTCCAGCTTGGCTGAGGCGTCTGTGTGGTCAGCTGCTGTCTGAGCGACTGATGCAGCCCAGTGGTGTGCAGGCTGTTATCAGAGCAATTCTGGAGGGTGGCACAGGTGAGAAGTGTAATTGCAGCCAGCATGTACAGTATTTTGAAAAGAATTAGCACATCATGAAGAAGTGGAAATGTTGTGGTTGGTGTATCACCAGCTTGTGATCACTAATTCATCTATGAAATCTGAATCATATAAAATGCTGCCAGAAGATAATGTGAGCTCTAGAAACAAGTACAAAGTCCACAGACCAGTGGGTGATGCCAATTGTGCCAATATATGTCTGTGGTTCCAACCAAATAGACGCACTGTTTCTGTCCTGTTTCAGGGGGTGAGTCAGACTGGAGGAAATGCGATGCTGTGGCAAAGATCCTCATTGCCTGCCCTCAGCAGTCTGCCTCAGCTGACGCCTACTTCAGACACATCTGCCCTCAGGTCATCCCCTGTGTTTGTGGAGAGTACATCACAATGACAGTCACCTGTGTTACACAACCTTAATCAGTATTTGACTGATCCTTACCTTTATCCTAACCATAAGCTAAAACTAACGCTGTCCTTATGGACTCCTTCTTGCTTTAACTAGTTTTCTTTATTCATTTTTCTGTCTAGTTTATATACTCTTTACATTTCTTGTTTAAATAAATCAGCTTGCTTGCTGTTTGTGTTGTTTTCCAGATCCTTGAACTCCTGCACTTCAAAGACAAGCTGACATCCCGTCAATTCCAGCTTGTGGCCACCAGGGCGGTGATCTTTATGGTGCAAGAAAGATCTAGCTTTGCCGAAAAGTACCTTCTCAGCCCTCTGCTTGCTGCACTGCACCATTGCACCACTATCCCCAGTCAGTAACACAACCATCTTCATCTCTACGTCATAATATGACAAGATAAAAAAAAAAAAAATATATATATATATCTATATTTGGGGGGGGGGGTTAATACCCAACATACTTCTCTGAAAGGTTCTGCAAACTCTCTCCTGGAGCCTTAAAAGGTTGATTCTGTTCATCTGGACGTAGTGTTTTTAGTGGGAGAAACGTTTAGTCGCTCATCCAAGTTACTGAATGTTTCTCCCATTGAAAACGCTACGTCCAGATGAACAGAATCAGCCTTTTGGGATTTACTTCCCTGGATGATTGAGCATGCATCAAGACTTCCCTTCTGGAATTTTATATATGTAATAAACTGTAATTTGGCATCTTAAAAAAAAAAAAAGTGCTGTCTTGGTACACAGTAAACAATAGTTTATTTTATCATGAAAGTTTTGATTTGCTTAAAGAACACACTGGTGGATTAACCATTATAGAAACATCCAACATTTGTTAATACCAAAAATTCCAACACTATTAACTTAGGCCACCTGTGGCATAAAGCTCACATTGGGTTGGTAGTCTTATACATTTGTTAAGTAATGCACATGACTACGATATATGCTAACAACTAAAGCCAGTATCAAAAGGTGAGTTTGACTGAGGATGAGGATTTACTTTGTGTAATTCATGTAGGAAGATGTCCAGGCTGTGTTGTCAGCACTTTGCATCAGCTGTGGTTTAAAAGTGCTTTATAAATAAAGGTGGATGGATGGATGGATGAGCAGTATATGGATGATAAATCAGTTTATGTGCATTTTTCCAGGTGAGTGTGATTCCCAAACTGCTGTGGAAGAGTCAGAACTGACACAGTGTGTGGAAGATGTATACAAGGTGAGGACGCAAGGTCTTTACAGACATGTAAAAGCAGGAATGTAAGAGGAGTGAATTTCTTTCATCTAACAGAGCTCTTTGGGAAGGATGTGTCCGGCATTGAGGATGTTGGTGGAGTAGAATAGGGCCATCAAGATGATCTCTGAATGTGCCATCCAGCATCTTCCTAATAACTAGGTCCAGTGTATTCCATTTTTTTTAGCCAGCCTACTCATGCTGCATTATTGTATTGCCTCTTCCTATTCTTCTGCTTTAATCCAGCTGAACTGTGGTCTTTGAGTAACCTGCGTTTGAGTTTCATTGAATTGTTGTTGCAGTTGAGTCAGACATGTCTTCTCAGTGGCGTTGAAGTAGCATAGAAAAAAGTGCTTGTGCGAGTGGGTGAATGAGGCAAGTTGTAAAGCGCTGTGAGTGCTCAGAGTAGAAAAGTGTGATTATAAGAACCAGCGTATTTACCATTTACGAAGACCACAGATTAACTTTTGTAACAGTATCTAGTGAAAACTGCAGAACTTGAATAAATTGATTTGAATGAAATGTCATTAAAAAAGAACCATCAGCTGATTTCATGCCTGTACCTGCAGCTTGTGGCTTTGATAAACAGAATTCTTTCACAGGGTGAATCCTGGTCGTGCTGTTTACTTGATGCTTGTCTTGTGTCTCCTGTTGCTGCCAGGTCTGCATGGTTGAAAACACTCCCTCAGCTTCTCTTCTCAGAGCTCTAGAAGAAGTTCTTCCTGTTATCTTCACACTCTTCTGTTTTACCAAGAAGAATGTTTCTCACCTCCGGTAAACATTTTTTGTTTTTAGCTGCGATTTAACTTCGTTTCATTCTTCAGCTTCTTTTTTCATCAGTTTGTGTATTTAAATGCATTCATGCCTTAGAGCAGCGGTCCCCAATCTTTTTTGCGGTGCCGAAAAAAAAAAAGTTTTATGCATAACACATGTGAAAAGACCCAGGAAAACCGAGTTAACCATAAACCCGATAATAAAATAACGCTAAAAAAACGATAAAACCCTGAAAAGCATGCATTTCACACCTGAGCCTCAACGCTCGCGGCCCGGTACCAAACGACTCCGTGGCCCGGGGGTTGGGGACCGCTGCCTTCGAGTGTGTAATGGATGTGGCTACAATAATATTACCCTTTGCCGTGTGGATCACTGCTAATTGGTTGGATACTTTGACCAACACTTTTTTTTCTAAACCTGAGTTGACCATTTTGGAAGAAAGGGTTGAAGGATTCAGTTTTGGTCTTGGTGTAATCACAATTAAAATGCTGCTCAACAAACATTTTTAGTCACTAATTTTGTTGGAAAAGTTAAACTGATTCTGGATGTAGAACACAGTAATTACCTGTGTGCGCTCTGTGCTCCACAGCGCCCCCTGTCAGGAGATCTTGCTGTGGTACTTGACCCACGCTGAGATGTCTGCAGCCTTGTCAATGCTGAGGCAGCTTTCAGGCCTCCAGAGAGGGAATAACCAGGTGGCAGCAAACTTCCACTTCACTGCTGGCAGTGAAGGAGGGGCCAGGCTCAGCTGCAGAGAGAGCTGCAGGTAATGATGTTAAACATACAGATGACAGATCCTAAGTATTAAAAACCTTAATTTAAAGTAAAAAATAAAAGCACAGCAATGTAAAAATGTTACATTACAAGTAAAATGTTCAAGTTTTACAAGTTAAGTGTTTATTAATACATCTTTAATGACATGCAAAAATCTGAATTTGGTTTTCGTCTGATCCACAAGGTGTCGACAGTATACAAACAACAAGAAGCAGTCGAACAGCACAAAGCTGACAGGCAGTGTTTAGTTTTAAGGGAATATTGTTTTATTTTGCTTTCAAACATCGTGCACAAATAGGTAATGAACATTTGGTATTAATTGGTAAATAACTGTACATGAACCACTTGAGCTTGTTATATAATTTTATACTATAGTATATTTCTAACTAACTAGGCAGCTTATTCTTTCAATGCAAACACAGGCAGTATTTGGCCTTGCAGAAGAGGTCAGAGGTCCAAAGTAATATAATATTTAGAATCTCATTATATTGTTCCCTATATGCTTACATAAGTTGTCAATATGAAGAATTAAGCATTAAGAAACATAGTTTGCCTCTGTATTTGAAAATCGCATATCATCTCATAAGGGAGATGATTTAAAAATGGGGCAAGTTAGAATAATGAGGGATGTATGTGTGTGATCACTTATGACTGGTTTTATTTAACCAAACATTAATGGGGCGTCCAAAAAAACATAATGCTTAAGCAGAGTAGTATATTAAATATGTTCTTTCTGATGCTGTTTCCCAGTGATGAAGATGATGAGATGTATGAGAGACTGTCAGGGGACCAGTGGAGAGTGGAGTGTCTGATGCACCTGCTGGCTGAGCTCAAAGACTGTGATCTGCCAGGAGACTTTTTCCTTGACCTGCTGCAGGTAAACAGGGATGCACGAGGATGGACTGCTGACCTATGATGGTCAAAAGTGAGGGTTACTTCCAGCATTCAATCATTACCTCTCAGTCTTAAATGACTGATGAAATATTATCATCACCCTGCCAGGTGGAAACCCAAGTTTGTGAATGCAATAACTTGATAACAAGGCAACATAGGATTTTGAAATTCATACCGTAGGTGCATCTGCTAAAAATCTTTGAGCTTGAAATTAAGTGACCTCGACTTCAAGGTGACCTCTGACCTTGACCTCAAAGCCCCCACTCCTAGGACCCCACCAAGATGGACCAGTCAACGATCCAAGTCAACTCTTACATGTCCTCCAATTTCCTGATTCCTGATTTCCTGAAAGAATAATGAATCTAATTAGTTGAACAACCAAATATTGCAGTGAAAATCAGAACAAAATGTTTTAATTTGCTTTATTTATATTATTTTTTTGGCCATTTTCATTTAAATATGGATCAGTTTTAAAAGAACTGAACCTCATAAATAGTGCTTATGTGAGCTTTCATCAGCCTCAGTAGAAATTGATCATTTTATGTAGTTATGATTGGGAATTGGAGTGTTTTATGTCTAGATTATATTACAGTGTTTGCTCTGTGACAGAAAGCAACCTCAGATAACTTTGCTCCTTCTGTAGGAGCTCACCAGCTGGGCCGTTGCAGATGAAGAAACAAAGGATGAAGAAGAGGTTGACATGTCGGCCATGACGCTGCTGGAAGTGGAGCAGCAGCTACTGGGTCGAGCTGAGAAACAAGCCCAAAGACTGGCTTTGCTTCATGTACTGGCTACGATGGTTGAGTCCCTGCAGCACGCTCATCTCCTGAGAAAAACAACACAGGTGAGTGGAGACATACAGAAACGCATGAAATTAGTCTTAAAAGGTATACAGATCTGATGTGATCCAGAGGTGTAAAGTATGACAATGATTGTGTATATATTTTGAGCAGAAATGAGTGTACCAGTCCATACACTAAAAGAGGGCAAGTTAAACACATGTAGCAGTATTTTACAATTGCTTATGTGAAAATGTTAACGTTGATAATTTACACACACATTTTTAAGGTCAATGTCAAAAATCAGATTATTTCTGCTCTCAAAACTCTTCTTGTGCATGCAGATGTCTTTAAAAAATAAATACATTTCTGACATTCTTTTTGCTCATTTACGGATTCTTAAATATGTGTGCACGATACACACAGGTCACATGTGTAGATGGGGTTTGAGGCTCCTCAATGTTTCAGTAATATAATGTTTGTTCAAGTACTAGTAGGAAACGGGGAATTCAACTTCCTGTGAATTCCTGTTTTTCTAAATAAGCAGAACGACTGATCACCCCTCTACTAGAAAACATACATTTACCACTACCAATATTTTACTCCATCTCTGTCACCTGTATAATCTGTCACTATTAACTTTTTTTTTTATTGCTCAGTATTAGTGTATCAATCCAAGCATGCGTGTGTGAGTACTCAAAATGTAAACACTAATCACCGTACACATTTTAAAATCTTAGTTTATCCTTGTGAATCTTTTTTTACACGTGTAAACCTTTTGTTTTTACTAATTTCGCTCTATACAAGATTTGTGAGTGGAGATAATGAGATCTTATGCAGCACTCCATCACTTTGCTTCTTGCTCAGACAGACCTTACTCACCTTGGGGTCGTTTTCCTGCTGAAAAATTAATGATTTTCCCAGTAAGATCAAAGCTGTGCTGCAGCATGTTGTGGTAGCCATGCTGGTTAAATGTCACCTTGAATTCTCAAATAAAGCTTCTGGTCTGGACCTTCTGGACCAAACACAACATTTATACAGCAAGCCATTACCAGATTGGATTTGAATTGATTCGATATATGTAATTTAGTTTCTCCTAGACAGAAGGAACAGAATGGATGTCTTCAGTGTCATTTTTCCTAAAGCAGATGACTTCAGTTTTGCACTGTCACTGTCAGTTGACGGCACAAGTGGAGGGCTGTTACTGGTTTTGGAGCAGTTGGGACTTTAATGCATCGTTCTTCGTGCAATCGAACCGAAAGCAATATTAATATGTGCAGTCCTCAAAGTTGTAGACACAAGACCTGAAATCAGATGAAAGGACACATGTATTACCCATCAGTTTCTGGAGTTCACATTTTTGGACCTCACCACACTTACCATGTTAGTTTTTGGAGGCCGTGCTTGGGCTAAATTACTGGTCAATGCTGAGAAGCTTGGTTATCAAGATGCATCCACACACTGCACAGGTGCAACACACAGACACTCATTTCTGCTCATTTGTACTAAGTGAAAGGCTAAAAAATACTATAATTTTATTTCCCAACAGTGAAGCATAAACTTCTTAGAAGTTTCAAAGAAAAAGAAAAAATTTAAAAATAATCCATCTAAATTTTTCAGCTTTGGGTATAAATTCTAGTACTTTATTAGTATGCTATTTATGATAGTATTTGTTACAATCATATACACCTATGCTTGCTAATATCTTAGCACTTCACCCTTTTCAAATGAATTTTGTCACTTCAGTTTTTCAAATTGCTTTTGTTGTTTTTAGTCTTTCTACATTTGCCTCCCTGATGTTTCATCACTGAGCAACTGACCCCTGTCTGGGTTTGTTATAGGTTGTGGACTTTATGATGTCTCTGCTCCAGAGGGCCTGTGCGGGCCTGGATCTGACCGCTGGGCTGAATGCTGGCAGTGCAGCAGAGAGCCAGACACTGAGAATGGGGATGGGTCTGGTGTCTGCGCTGTTGTCTGAGCCTCAGGTATGCACAAGTGACTGATAACTCCATTCTGCTGCATGTGGCTCTTTCACGTTCAGTTCATAATGTTCTGTAGTTTCATTTTTTGTAGCTTTGATTATACATTATATTTGTACAATAACAGAGTATCTGCAGGTCTTGAGCATTAATTTTGCTCAAGACAGCAGCTTCAGTTAAATTTCAAAGGTCATTTTCTATGTGTTTTTATAGACGGCTACAGTTGGTAGTTGTTTGTTATTTTGGGGGGTTTTAAGAAAGGTTTTTAATTACCTTCAACCATAAAAGGTGATGTAGGAGCTTCAAATTGTTAATCTGGGCATATCTACTAAATATCTCAGATGAGTCCAAATCTCAGTGACCTCAACCTCTCAGAGGTCACTTTTTCCTGAAAATCTAATGAATGCAATAACTTGAGAAAAAGGAGATAAAGAATTTTGAATTGATACCATAGGTGTGTCTTCTAAGAGGCTGAGAGGTAGCACCGGTGGTCGCCAGTAATTTTAAGTCATTCTAAACCTGTGATGTTCATATGTTGACTTTGTTTTACAAAATGCATCCCTCTATTTCTTGCTGCTTATCTGCTATCATGCCTCACATAACACTAGATAGCTTTTTAAAAAAAACATTTAGAATTTTTATTTAAGGAACGTTTTGAGACTCTGAGGATGTACATATGCCTGTTATATGGAGATCTAATCAGGTAGTATAATTCCAGCTTTAGCTATTATGTACTTCTGTGTACATGTGCAAACAATTTGAAATCTGTTTTTTGAAGAACATTAAAGCAACATTAAAAACAAAGTTTTAGAACTTTAACACACTTTATAACAGTAAATGCATAACAGAAACTCTCAAGAAACCCTTACATTTGACTTTACAGTTCAGTGTGGAGGACTACTTGTCGATGTCAAAGCTGCTGCCACCTCTGGAGATACTCTCTCAGCAGCATCCTGACGTGATTATTCAGGAGCTAGCGTCCAACCTGAGAGCGGTCATTGCCACTCACGGGGCGTACCGCCCTGACAGCAGCAGTGAGGCTATCTCTGTCACTGACGCACCGCCCCCCAGAAACCATAAAACAGCTGTAAAAAATGTAGTGAAAGGTGAAGCAAACGACTCACATAAACCTGCCCAAAGCCATGAAAGACTTACAGCATCTTCTGGAGGGTCAAGAATAAGTCCAGGATGTGAAGGACAGATCTCTGGCTCCAGTGACTCTTGCCCTCCTTCCAAGCCCATCTCTGACTGGCTGATAGAGGCATGTGACCCAGACGTGCCAACAAGAGCGTACGCCCTGAGGGTACTGACACAAATGGTGCAACATAGAAAGCCAGAGGCCATCCAGGCGCAGGAGAAAATCCTGACGGTAAGTTACCTGGTAGCTGCTCTGTTTGTTGGTTTTTTTGTTTTAAATATGTTTTGGCTTTTTTGGTGTTTTCATTTTTTTTGTTCTGTTCTTTTTCTTTTTTTTTTAACTTAGGCTTTTCTTTTCTTTTTGTTTGTCAAGTTGAGTAGATGTTATGTTCTTCACATTTGCAAGTCCTGTATAAATTAAAATTATAAATTAAATTTTTAGGTAGAGAAATTTGATTCAAGTACTTTATTTCAAAATAAATTAAATGATTATCCACACATATAATATACAGGAGTTGGTGTGGCCTGTGTAGAGCGGGTGAGATACTGAAGCGTTAGTTGCTCCCAGTGTGTTCATCTTAGTGTGACAGTATGTCAGTGTTAAATAGAAAAAAACATTTAGACATTAAATAGAAAATCATTATATAAGAACCAGTATCATTACCATTTGCAGCACTGTACAAAGGTCTTCAGCTACCCCTCATTTCTGTATATATTTTGCTAGGAGGATCTTAAGGCCATCTTAAAGCTATCTGTTACATTGTTAAAGCAATGATCATACTGCAGATTATATTATGCTGGTAAAATACTTTTGTTCATCCCCACAAACTGCGTCCAGCAATTTATTAAAAGTTGTTTAAACTGGTCACGAGCTGTGGGTAGTGACCGAAAGTACGAGATTGTGGATACAATCGGCAGAAATGAGCTTCTTCTGAAGGGTGGCTGGTCTCTCTTTTAGAGAGAGGGTGAGAAGTTCAGCCATCCGGGAGGGGCTCAGAGTAGAGCCGCTGCTCCTCCACATTGAAAGAAGCCAGTTGAGGTGGTTCTGGCATCTGACAAGGATGCCTCCTGGGTGAGGTGTTCTGGGCATGTCCCACCAGGAGGAGGCCCTGGGGCAGACCCAGGACACACTGGAGAGATTATATCACTCCATAAGACCTGTTATGCCCCCCATGGTGTACTAGTTAACACTTTCACTTGGCAAGTGAAAGGTCACTGCTTTGATGTCAGGAAGGGCATCCAGCTTGAAGCTTTGCCAAATCATGCAGGGGAGCAGCTAACGTAGCTTTTACTCCAAAAAACCAGTTGTCACTGATTCTCAGCCCAGTTCTTGAGTAATTTAGCGTACCATAGCTTTTCCTCCCAGTTTCCCTTCCTATGGTTAATAATGGCTTCTTGATATCTACTCTTCCATTGAGCCCATTTCTGTTTAGGCTTTTGTGAACAGCTCTCAAGTCTGTGTCAAGTTTTAGATGGATTTTTTTTCTTTTCCATGTTCATCTGGTGTATTTTTTATTTTTTGGCACACATACAATAAAATCTGTCACAGTGTGTTATTGTTTCAAAAAAAAAAAATGTGAGCACTGGCAATATCTTTGTCTCTTGAGACTTCTATAATAAATGAGGGAGCTGAAGCTCTTTGAGACAGCTCAAAAGAGCTTTGAGCTCTTGGGGCTTGTTAAGATGGTAAGAGAAGATACCAACTAATGTATTATTCTATTTGATCAGAAGCCCATCCCCTTCAACCATCCTTCAGCAAAACCCCCCTTTATTGATTTTTCTGCCTTGTCACACAGTTGAGTTTTCTAGAGGTCACTTTTCATGTGTACTGTCCTTTCTCCTTATTTTAACTGAAACTACAGTTTAAAAAAAAAAAAAAGTTGTTTGTTTGATTGATGTATGGAGTGGTGTGTATTCTTCTTGGCTCTGCTGTTTGTATGTGTTTTGATGTTGTGTGTGTTTTTTACACAGTAGACCATGTGGTTATAAATCATGCTGATGGTCTATTTTTCTCCAGCTCTTCTTAGAAAGCCTGGAGCATGTAGACTCATTTGTCTACCTGTCAGCCATTCAAGGTAATCTAGTGATTCATCCCAATGTTGATGAAGTATTCAGATGCTGCTGATGATTGATGGACTCGTTATAAACCGTCTTTAGGTCTGGCTGCATTGGCTGATTCCTACCCTGACAAAATACTGGAACGGCTCCTAAAAGACTTCCAACATGGACCCTCCCTCCTTTCCTCCAACAAAGAGCGCTCCGTGGAAACCCGCCTTAAAGTGGGAGAGGTCCTGATGAGGACAAGCAGGGCCATGGGTGAGCATCATCAGATTCAACTTAACAGTTATGCTGTGATGTTACTTTGTTGTTGTTGCTTCTGTTTCATGTCTGTCAGTGCTGTGTGCTCTTGTGTGTTGAATCAGGATCTGAACGCACTGTTGTGACAACATTGCTTTTTTCTCTGATGAGCTCTATAGACTCTCTATAAACTCATCTTATTTCTGTATATATAAAAAAGAAAATAGGTCAAAAGACAAGAATAGCAAGACAGAGCACAAGTGGAAAAACACAATGTGTCTCTAATAGAGATGGACCGATCGGATATTACGTATCGGTACCGGTCCGATACTGACCTAAATTACTGGATTGGATATCGGAGAGAAATAAAAAATGTAATCCGATCCATTAAATATCACAAAAGCACCTCAGAAGACTTGCGACATGGCGTAACTCGGCTCATAACCGTAGCACGTCGGAGCAGTGTGCATCACGTGATAGAGCGGCTGTGGCTTGCCAGACCTCTCGGCGGTCTGGTTGAGCATTTGTAGCCTCCGAGGAAGTGATCCCAAAGAGAAGTAAAGCAAGTGTGTCAGTTCATCTCTGAATGTTTGTAAAGCATTCCTGCGTTAAGCTTAACAACCGATATATGGAGCGACTGCCTCTCTCTCCCTCCCTCTCCTGTTGCTACTTCAATCATGAAACCGATCAATGATCAGCTGATCGGCTTTTCTGTTGTGAGTCCGTGTCTCTTGTTTGTTTTTTGGCCCAGTTTGCGCCAGAAAGAGGAAACCAGCGGCTGAACAACAGCAGCACGTTTAAACTTGATAATCTGTTGTTAGAATTTATTTATTATTACTTTCTACTCGAGGATCTTTTTCTACGTAGCTGACGCCGGTCACTGTGCAGGGGCGGATCTAGCAAAGTTTAGCCAGGGGGGCCGATAGGGCATAAACAGGGAAAAGGGGGGCACAAAGACATACTTTTCTTTCTTATTCTCATTTAAAATGTCTAGCTTTTAATAAATTATCTGAATCTTACACCCAGTTTTAATCTGATGTAAAATGTATAGAAATCCATTATTGTATAGAGGAACTATTAAGTCTAATATAACCCAGTAAGCTATAGTACTTTTGGGAAGGTACGATCTGTGCTGTCTGCAATTCTGTTGAAGAAAGATGTTGAATCAATTTAATTATTGTAGAAAAATAATTGATTTCTGTGCTTTTTTTATTTTTATTTTTTTTTTTTTTTACATGTGCATTAAATTAAGGTTGATTACGTCGATTAAGCATCACGGGGGGGTGGTTCCCTTTTTTTTTTTTTTTTTTTGGTGCTGGGAGTTTGCAACCCTATTAGTTAGGTTGTTTAATATTTCTGCTAAGTACTCTTTAAAATACCAGAATAGGAAGGTTGGAGTAGGTTTAAGTTTATTAGCTTGATCAGTGTTGCTGAACTATGAAACATTTTGGGTGCAGTGTATTTTTTGAATACAGGTATAACAGAATAGCTTTAGTGTTTTGTTTTTTAAAACTTCACTATGAACTTATACAAAATGCAGCAAGATATTAGAAAAACAGCTTTATTGATTAAAAATACACTATATTGGATTCATATCGGTATCAGCAGATATCCAAATTTATGATATCGGTATCGGACATAAAAAAGTGGTATTGTGCCATCTCTAGTCTCTAACTGCTGCACCTATAAGAAAACGCATACAAGAACGCAGCAGCTGACCACAATCTTGTTGGTGTGTGTGTGTGTGTGTGTGCCTCTGCATGTGTGTTTGTCACCAATTATACTTGGTAATGATGGAAGAAGAAGCCACACTAACTGTGTCTAGGAGCCAGAGGCAGACAGAGACCCAGGAGACCTGAGCCATCTGCAGCCTCCAGACTATGAAAAATCTTATTTAAAATTAGAATGAAATGGTTTATATGGTGTATATATCTTAAGGCATAAAATGTACCTGTACTCGACCTCTTTGACATTAATAATAGGCAAGTTTTTGTGTTGCTGAAGACCGATGGTAATTAATATTAACAATAATTCACTTGTCATGTACGTCTTTATTGGCTTGTAAAAGTAGCTTTTATTTTATTTTAGTTCACATTTTTAATGCAATTTAATGAATACAATATTTTATATTATTTCACTTTTAATCTTAATAATCTTGTGAAATCCTTGAAACATGGTCTAGTACACCCATGCCCCCCTTTAGACTCGCCCCTGTTATGCAGAATAGGACAGCTGCCATCAGCCTTCAATAAGCTGTATAATTTAAACATGCTCTCAGATTAAGTTAACAGTTCATCAGCATATTTTAAAACATCTGGAGGCTTACTGCAGATTTTTCACTGTGTAAAACAAACGGTGTGGATGGAGCTCGTGCTAGGTTTTTCCCAGTAAAGGTTTGAAAGGTGGTTACGGGAGCAGCGCTGCTGCCTGAGCTCAGTGTGTCGGTAACGGCTCTGCCTCTTTGCTCTTCAGTGTGTAAACAGACTCTGGCTCCACGTTAAACTACACCAGCATCATTATCACTGCTGCTGTTGTGTTATCAGGTTTCTAATAATTGCTTCTGAATATTTTTGTATCACAGGTCTGTTTTTAGTTGCAAATGTGGGTGACACTCTTGCATTTACATTGTTTAACACAACGATCAGGTGTGTTGACCCAGGGTGATATCTAAAACCTGCAGGACACCGGCCCTTGAGACCTGGAGTTGCCCACCCCTGCCTTAAATGAAACATTGAAGAAAATAATTTCTGACAAGAATTTTTTATAATAGAATTTCTCGATGAATCGTTGCAGCCCTAGATGTAATATTCGATTTAGTCATAATCAACATACTCAAAAAGCTGTACAAAACAGGAAATGACATTTTCACACCAAAAAGTGCTGACCAAAGAGCTAGCCACCTGACACGTTGGTAAAACATGGCACATGTCTGCATGGTGTGCTGTGTGTCCTTAAAAAACTGAGGAAACTTGACAAGTGAAGGGTAAAAGAAGTGTCACGTCTAAAAGCCATCCACAGCAGATAAACAATATCTGAATATCATGACCTTAAGAAACGGGTAAAAAAGTGACTACTTTGTTGTAGTCATCACAGCCACACAAAAACCACAGTGCACGCTTGTTTTCTTTGCAGATCCCCATCAGAAGGAACCCTGTGTATAAAAATCTTTCCTGACAGAACCCCCCCCCACCCCACTCGGTTTTACTGTGCCAGATTGCCATCGTACCACTTCTCTGGGACAATTAGATGGTTTATATCCTTGCTGAGAGATTGGATCGAGATTCAGTTTGTTGCACAGGCACCCAGAGAGCTCCTCTGTTTGGCTAAAATGCCCCCACAAGACTGGCCAAGATTTGGCTTTTGCCAGGCCATCGTTTTTAAGTAAGAAAGTTCTCTTAATTGACTCGCCTGGTTGAGCAAATGTTTAATAAATGAATGTTTGGTTTGCTAACTGTGACTGGCTTAATGGCCTTGCACAGTCCTGTGAACTCTCATAGTAACCAGTGATAGGACATGTACTGAAAGGGAAGAGCTCTGAACCAGCTGCTGTTCTCAAAACATGATGTTTATCAGGATGTACAGGAAGAGGACGTGCAGATGTATTTGTTGGAGTGCATCAGTTTTACCAGCTTTACCAATGTTGAATATTAATGTGTGTAGTTGAGACACACACTGATACAAGTATGGACTCTAAAACAGCATTTCTCTTTCATGGAGTCTGTTAAAGCAAGTTGTGACCGGCTAGTGAAAGATGGAAATAAAGTGAGAGCAGCTGAGCTGAAAAAAGGCTATTGTAGAACAAGCTAACATCATTAAGGTGCAAGGTGTCTGTTTCTGGATAAGACAAATCTAACTGGCTCTGAACTCTACATCATAACTTGTGACGTAACCAGAAACCCCTTTGACCCTGTTCAGTTACTTTACTTGGGCTCCCACTTTGTGATTGAGTGGTTCTGAAATGCTTTCACTTTGCTGTAATACTGATTACAGTAAATCGTGGAATATCTAGAAGGAAAAAAATGTACAAATTGACTGTTTCAGTGGTGGCATCCTATTACAGTACCATGCCTGAATTCACTGAGTCCTTTACAATTAGCCCACTCTTTAACAAATGTTTTTAAAGGCAGACCGCATGACTAAGTGCTTAATTTTTATACATCTGGAAATACCTGGAATCAAATATTAAGAGGTCATCCCAGTACGTTTGTCCATATATTGTATTTTCCACAGAAGATGACTACAATCACCTAGAGAACCACAGACATGACATCCTCTGATAAATGGTCAGTTTTATGGAGCCTTAGATCTAACCTGTCTGCTTGATGTTTCTCCTTTAGGAGAACTAGCTCCCCACCTTGGCCGTCCTCTGGTGGGCATCTTCCTGCGAGAATCCAGAGACCCTGACCAAAGCATCCGGGCTAGCAGTCTGTCCAACCTGGGGGAAATCTGTCAGAGACTGGACTATTCCCTGGGGTCACTAGCTCAAGAGGTAGGGTTAACCAATAGACAATAGAAAATAAACACATTAACATTTCTAAGAACCCATTAAGCAAAAAACAGGTTATTGTTAGAGTATAAATTAAATGGCATGAAATTCTAGAGGCTTCATCTGACTCCTGTTGCTCAGGAGGTAGAGCGGGTTGTCTACTGATCAGAAGTTTGGTGGATCGATCCCAGGCTGCTCCAGTGTGCGTGCCAGATATTCTTGGGCTAAACCCCATGTTGCTCTCTGCTGCATCCATCGAGTATGAACGTCTGTGAATGTTAGATAGAAAAGCATGATTCTTGTATGAATGGGTGCTTTGAGTGCTCCTGGAGAGTAGAAAAGAGAGAGAACTCTCAGTCCAGTCACCAAATCAAACAAACAGCTGTACAGCTTCAACTGACAAAAATAAAACCAACAAGATTTTACAAATAAACATTTTACAGCATTATATAACTCATGCCTCATACAGGACAACCGATGGAACAATGTAAACACAGGACAATAATTTACAATAGAAACAGTGAAAAGATAATTAGTAAAATAATTGAGTTGAACAAGTGGGTTTTCAAGAACTTTGGTTTAACTTCACTCTGTAAACCGGCTGACATGTTGGTTCCATGCTGCAGCCAGCTGGCATGAATGAGCCACCTCTGTATATGTCTGCAGCACACAAACAGATCTCACTCTAAATATACTGAATGTTTGTCCTGAGATGCACAGCTCAGCTCTATAGTGACTAACTCTTTGTAATTTTTCAATGTTGTTAAATTAACAGACTTCATGTCTGTAATATTACATAGATACTGAAATGAAAACTGCAAAACTCACAAAAATACTGAAAATACACCAGTTCTTTCAACCAGGCTGCAAGGCTGCAATAACCAACCAGATGTATTTGTGATTATTTTGGTTTGGTAGGTAATATTTTGAGAGTAGTTTGAGAGTAAACCACGTGAAAACAAAAATGTCAAAAACCATTGCTATTCTCTATAAAACAAAGCATGTCCTGAACAAAAAATCATTATACACACTTTATTGTACTCTGTTGCTTCCATATATGACTTACTGTCTGGAGATATGGGGTAATGCATATAAAACGAACACTCTTCATATTTTCAAGTTACAAAAAAGACCTATAAGAATTATAAACCAATCAAACTATATAGAACCAACTAACATTTTGTTTATTAATCTGAATACCCTGAAATTTTATGATTTAGTTGAATATAAAATGGCACAGATAATGTATAAAGCACAAAATAACTTGCTTTGCCCCAGTACTCAGAAGCTGTTCAAAGTCAGAGAGAGTCAATATGACTTAAGGGGAACAGATTTCTTTAAAAAAAACAAGATGAGGACAAATATAAAGCAGAGATGTGTTTCTGTTAGAGGAGTTAACCTGTGGAATAGTTATGACAGTGATTTAAAAAGGTGTAGTTCATTTTCCTTGTTTAAAAACATGTTTAAAAATAGAGTAATAGAAAAATATATAAATCAAGAATTAAAAGAGCAAAAAGGAGAAAAAAAATAACCCCTTGATTCTTTTGCTTTGATGTAGTTACTTATCTAAGGTGGAAAGTTTTTTTTTTTTTTTTGTTTTTTTTTTTTTTTTTGTTTTTGTTTGTTTGGTTTGTTTGTTGGTTTGTTTGTTTGGTTGTTTGGTTTTTGCTTTGTTTTATTATTTTCTTCAAGCCCTGTGTACAGGAGCTGCATACAAAAAGATATTTTGTGAAAAGGGTTGGCGTAATAAGCAAATGCTTCAGCCAATACCTTTTGATTAGCCTTGTCTCATGCTTTCTTTCTTTATGGTAAATTTTTGTTCTGTTTTCACTGTTTGTTTGTTTTTTCACCGTTTTCACTGAGATTTGAATTTGAATGCTAATCAATAAAATCAAAAATCAAATCAAAAGTTACAGCAGCTCTGTGCAAGATAAAGATGGTAGGTATTTAAAATAAATCAAACTGCACTAAGTCCAATTGGGAAAATAATTTTCTGTGTTTCTGAAATGTGAGACTCCATGCTTCCACAGTTATCTACAGTTGTGTTATCTGTGCTTGTTAGTTTAAAGCATTATTAACTGTTATTATCTGTCGTGGATACACTTTGTACAAATATAATTCCCCATAAATTGGGACACTTGTGTAAAATAGGAACAGATACATTGGACAAGGAATGCAATATTTTACATTTGACTCTTTCATGAAAAATAACTCAATTCATATTTGATGACAACAGCATGACTAAAAAAAAGTTGGGACAGGTGCAGCAAAACGCTGGAAAAGTGCTAAAAAGAACATCTTGCATGCTGTTTTTGTGCAGATTAGCTCCTGTCTGACGTCACTGATAAAGACGGAGAAGGAGGCAGAGGTGAGGAGAGCTGCTGTCCACGTTATTGCGTCGCTGCTCCGTGGTCTTGGGGACAAAAGCACACAGGTACACTCTCACAGCTCACTGGGTATTTTTAAAAATGTCTTCGGAAGCACTGGATTCAGTTTTCTAAACCTAATGCCAGAAGACCTTAAGATGAGATGTTACTTCATATTTGGTAGGTGTATTACTGGGGACCCGCGTAAGGTGCTATTGTGAATAAATGTTTTATTGAATGTTCTATTATTGTGACATTAACACAGTTCCATAAGGGGTGTTTCTGACAGTGCTGGGCTGTTTTTACAGACAACAGGCACAAGACACGTTTTTTTGTTTTCTTTTGTTTTTTCCATGTTTGACTGCGTGCAATTTGCAGTAAATTGTGTGCCTTAAACTTTTTAATTAACATTTACGTGACTCATTTAAATATTTTTCTCCTAAAAGTGAAACACTTGCAAATGTGCAAATACGCTTCAGTTTGAGGTCAGGCTGTTAGCTTTTTCTAATATTTACATTTAAGTGTGACAAACATGCCAAAAAATAGGAGATCAGGAAGGGGGCAAACACTTTTCCATGTTTTGTAGTCCATTTTCTCCACATCCTGCATATTGTCATTTCAACATCCGGACATCATGTTGTTAATGAGAGACTAATGTAAGGTCGTTTTTATTCTCGGCACGCTCTTTTCGTTTCCTAAGTCCTTTTCAAATTTCCTACCCACTTTTGCTTGACCTCGATGCCGTTTTCATCAATGACGTTTTTATCGAGGTCAAGGAAAAGAGGTGGGGAAGAGGAGGAGGTACATTTGGAGTGCACCAGGCAGAGGAGAGATAAAAATAAAATCCAGTGAAGTCGCACAGAGAGGACTGAGGGACCATGACGTAAAACTTATTTCTTTAGCCACTTTCGCTCTGTCTTTTTAGCTGTAAGTGGTTCTTCATTGTTGTCTACCTGAACTGAAATGGAAAAATCCGTCTGTTAGCCTTAATGTTAGGTTTTGTAGGTGTATGCATGGTGAATGAGAACTATGTGGAGAATAGACTGAGTCAGCTACACAGGTGATTCACTAGACCAGCAAGCTGGTTAGCAACTAAGTCCAGGGAAAACCGTGAAAGCAGGGAAACAGTCAGAGAACTAACTAGAAATATCTCAGGATGAAACAACAAAAGCACACCAAAGAGTCCTGGGGTCTGTTTCTTACACAGAACCCCCCACCCCCACCTAGCAACCCATAAGACCCAATCAGCACAGTACATCCTTACAGTTCCTCTGTCTATGGCCAAACTGATCAAAGCCATGAAATAGAGCTAATAATAATAGGCTGGTGGTTTTAAAGCTGTAGTAGCTGCTGCTAATTGTATGTAAAAAGCTGGCTCAGGTGTTATATAGCTTTTAATCACCTGTCATGACCCCAGTGAAGTGGCTAGCTGTTTGACTTAGTCCAGGTTGTATAATTACTGGAACAGCTGGAGAATGGTGACACCAGCTGCACAGCACTAATGACACACAGTGACATTATTGGAAGACAAGACTGGGAAGAAACCAGAAGGACTGTTTAACCCCCCTCACCTCCCCCAACGACAGAATCCATTTGAAATCTGGAACATTATTTTTTTTAATCATAGTTTTCAAGGTAAATTAGAAATACTAAATGCTGTGTTCCTACTTTATTTAATCAGACCCTAAACCAAATTATAACAATAACTATATCTATCTAAAATTCCAGATTTTATGTAAACTGGTTCCCACTTTATGTAAAAATGGGTTGTGCTGATTAAACTACTTTAAGCAACTTTCCAAGGCAGCAGTTGCCTTACAGTATAAGGGTCTGGATTCAGGGCAATTATCAATTGGTAATATAACTGGAAACAATATATTTTGGTCAATGTTGAGACCAACAAATAAAGTTTTCCTTGGCTTTGAATTTGACGATACTTTAAATAATGTCTAATAGAAAAAAGCAAAAAAAGGCAACTAAAATAAACATGCTAAAGCTCGGTAAATATGAATGAACAATAGTTGAAGTACAAATAAAAAATGAATGTAGTTCAGTTAAGCAGACTTTTTATTAAGTAACCAATTACTATTATGCTTTTTTTTTTTTTTTAAGTGTATGGGAGGATAAGGAGTGTTTTGAGTCATATTGTATGAAATGTACTTGGTAGCAAACTCAGCACCCCCACATTTGTGTCACTTTAGTGTCACCTTTTCCAAAGTTTCATTAGTGTCTGTCTCCTCCAGGTTCTCAGTGATGTTTTGTTGGACCTGTACCGAGCTCTCAAATGGGTGGTTAACTCTGACCTGGATGAGGTATCCGTGCTTCATGCCCACCTGGCTCTGGAGGAGCTTGACGACATAATGAGGAGGTTCATCTTCCCTGAGCAGAAGCTGGAGAAGAAGATTGTCGTCCTACCATAGAACTAATTTCCGTGGGCTCTTTGCACTACAATTTATGCCTCCGTGTAATGTGGATTAAGTCTTCAGAAATGTGGTTGACCACAAAGAGCAGAAAATCCTACATCCATGCATACCAAGGACTGTGACCTAGTGTACCACCCTATTCCACAATAAATTTTTAAGCATATTTTCTGTGATTTGTGATTTGAAATATGAAAAATATTTTAACTTTAGATTTATGTGAATTAAATACTGTAATAATACTGACTTTAATATATATTAATGTTGAATAATAATCCCAAAAAGGTTGATTCGGTTCATCTGTATGTAGCGTTTTCAGTGGGAGAAATGTTTCGTCACTCGTCCAAGTGACTTCTTCAGTCTCAGCTGACTGCAGGTTTCCCCAACCTTATAAACAGTACATTTGCACAGTGAGTGAAACTAGCACCCTTTAATGAACAATGGACTGTGAGGTCAGTTCATTGATCATTAATATGCAAATTGTCATGACCACTGATTAACAACCATTGATCAATGGCCATGAGTACAATTTACACAGAGTTGGTATTGTAAGAACGTGAAAAGACCCTTTGTCTGTATGATCAACTCGGTCACCTATAACAGCTCAAAGTTTTTGGCTTCGATCCTCAACCCCTTGGTAGGCAGCTCTAAACACCACCACCCACTACAAACGCTACAACCAGATGAACAGAATCTACTTTTTGGGATTTCCTTATGATTGAGCACGCATGAAGATGTTAAATAATATTCATATTGTATACCACAAAAACTATAAAACTTTAAGCCCAAAGAAAACCTCATGCCACAGTACTGCCCTGAACTTCTGCACATTATCACATTATCACACATCACACATTTGCACTTCTCTCCACTTCACTACCACGGGCCTTTCTAAAGTATGGGAGGCAATTATCCTAAACAAAAAAAATTACATTGAGATTGTCAAGGAAGAAATTTGCAAGAGAGGAAGAATCCAAATTCTGATTGAAATATGCTACAATTACATGGTAATAAAATAATTCAAATCAATTTTTTAAAATGGCGCCAAATCACAACAACAGTTGTCTCAAGGTGCTTTATATTGTAAGGTAAAGACTCTACAATGATAGAAAGAAAACAGAAAACCCCAACAATCATATGACCCCCTATGAGCAAACGCTTTGACAGCAGTGGGATGGGCGAGACAGTGTGCGGGGTTATGTTCTATGTTAGTATAGCCAACTAAAACAACACATTCTCACTCCCGAGGCGTAATATTTTACGCTAGGTGACAATAAAACATATCTCTGTCCTGAGACCTTGTGGAACTCAAACAGGTTTTAATCAGATTTTGCTTCCTGAAAGATCTCATCACCTGCAACAGTCACAGGCAGTGTGCAAAATATATGTAGAGCAAAATACACACTTCTCTGTTTATGTGGATTATACTTTTGTAATAATGGATTGTTATTACACAATGAATAGTTTGTGGAATAGAATTAATTTCCCAATGAACCTCCTCAAATTAGACACAATTAGACACAGTGGGGCTGGTTCAGTGTCAGGAGTGTGGGTATGGGGAGACGGGAGTGGGACAGCTAAGCCTGAGCCTGTGTTTGTCTGTTTGGCCCCGCACCACGTTGTCACATAAATGATTTAGTGCAGGGGTGTCAAACTCAAATACACAGTGGGCCAAAATTCAAAACTGAAACAAAGTCGCAGGCTAACGTTAATATTTATTGAAATATATTTATTCCTCCAGATATAAGAATGAATCTTTTCTTATAGACTCAAACACGTTTTGCTGAAAAACTGAATATGGAACAAGCAAAGCTTAATACTAAACAATATATATATTAGCTGTATAACACCAGTAGGCCAGCTCTGATAGTAATTTGGTATGGCTTCGCGGGCCAAATGTAATTAGGCTGCGGGCCAAATTTGGCCCACGGGCCAGAGTTTGACACCTATGATTTAGTGTATGGAAAGTAAAGCAGTTTCCTTCATGTGGACTTCTCTATGAGTTTAATCTCCACCTGTCTCTCTTTTGTTCTTTGAATCTAACTTGTAACTTTGCACAGAGCTATCCTCCAATCTTACCGCTCAGCGTCAGTCCGGAGCGCGTGCACCTGGACCAAACCAAATCGTGTAAGAAGGAGGGGGAGGCGGGGTCAGAGGCTGATTGGATTTTATTTTTTGTTGCCAATAGCAAAACAAAACTAATGCTATAAAATAATCAAGTTCACAAGTATCCTTGTGAGTCAGACATTATTTTATGGTGATAGGTTAATAATTTTCTTTTAAAAGAAAAGACTAATTGACTATTTTTACTGTTTTCTAGGGCCCCTCGTCATCACTTTTCTCCCCTTACGCGCCCCTGGCTAAAGTCATGCGACTTCTATTACAATAACTACTACATCTCACTATGTGTCATAGAGAAAGATAAAGTGTACAAGTTTAGTATATTATGTTACCTGGCATGGATAGTGAAATGTGTTTAGATGGCTGTGTTTAGATCGCTGTGCTTTGCCAGCCATCTATCGATTCTCCAGTGCATGCTGCAGTTTGTCCAGGTATAAGCCTGTCAGCAACTCAGCCTCAAAGAGGAGAGGAAAAGAGAGGGAGGGAAGATGAATAAGCCCATAAGGGCTGCCTTGAGTAAGGTAGAGAAGTGAAAGGAGCACCCAGACTTGTTAAAGACTGCTGGCTGCATTGCAGAGAGATCGGGTGCTGGTTAGGATGCCCAGGGAGGGGAGGGGAGCAGGTGGTGAAGGAGCCGCTCAGCAGTGTTGGGCTCTCAGTCGACCAGCTTGGACAGAGTGATAAAGGAGGACGCTTTCAGCTCTGCTGAAAACAGTAGGTGCAAAATTGAGCAGAGACTGCAGAAGAGAGAAGAGAAGCTAGAGAAATCCCCCGACAAAGAAGACGTCAAAACTAAGGCAGAGACGGAACCTTTTGCTTTGAATCTCAGGCACCTTCACTTTGCTCTGACCATGTCCATAGGATGGAGAGCAACACACAGACGGCAGAATAACTGCTGCTTAACACCGACAGAGACTGCACCAACGTCAGCTGCTGGCTGAGCACCTCTGATCACATCTCAGGTTGGGGACCTCATCCCCTGGGAAACTCCTGGAAGATCGAAGGAGAAGGAGGAGGGTGACTTACAGGCACGCTGGTTGGAGTGTGGTGGTCAAAGCAGCCTGGTGTATTTTTGGATGTGAATTAAGCAAGCAAGCTGGAATAAAGATGTAGTGTGAGCTGGAGGAAGGAGGGGGAGAGAACAAGGAAAGTTGTGTGGAAAGGAGAGGAGAGGGCTGGATGTCCTGGCTTGACGGACTGAAAACTGGAAAATACAGAGGGGGCACTGGTTCAGGAAGGTAAGGTCTTTAAAATGTTTTTCACTTGCCCTCAGGATAGCAAAATCAGTCATTTCTTATTTCTGTAACATAACTACATTAAAATGTGGGTTTATCTTACAAAAGCTCATTAAATAGACTATGCTTAGGCTTCAGTTTTGGATACCTCTTCAGATTTGGTATGCAGTTCTAAAGATTAACTAAATGAAGGTTGAATAGAGACAAAAACGGAATGAAAAGTTAGAAAAACCGTATTAATCAATAGTTACATTGTAGGATAGTGTTCAGGCATGTGTGTTGAATGTTTACAGTGTATGGTAGAGATTTCTGCCCGGCACTTAGCTTGAATTGCTCAGCTTACTCTGCTTTAAAATTACACTGAAAACTAAAAAAATCAATGTGAATCAGTCTGAACATAACATTGTTATTGTGTCCTTGTGTTAGCTCCTAGCATATGCAACATTTTCCCTGTGTGGAAGAAGACAGCAACTATCTGAAAAAATAGCCAAAGAGTACCCATTTGAAGCTTCTGGTGTCTCCAATGAAAAACCTTGTACTGTTTGATTTTCCACAGCATCACTGCTGTGTTGGACCTCCCTAATGTGTTGGTCCTTTTTGCACAATGCCTGCCATTATTAGAGAGTCTCAGTGCATACAGTAAGAACTTAAGTAAATCTAAAATGCCTAAGACTGTGGAACGTTCATGCAAGAATGAAAATGTTCTTCCTATTACAAATAGGAAATAAATCGTTCTTTGCTACAACCTTATTTGGTGTGCTATGTTATATGATGGTAGCTGTAACAGTAGCACATTAGCAAGCTTTAACTGACTTGAGACAGATGTCTAAGACGAACATTTCAGAGTATTTTAGGCACAACAAATTCACACCCAGTGTTTTGTAGTCATGATGCTGTTTGTTTTTTAATAATTATTGTGATTCTTAGGTTCATAATGTTCTTAGTTCTCCCTCACTCAGTGTTTATCTTCTCCTGTGTTTACTCGTGTCTCCCTAGACACTGTGTTAAGCTTGGGTGTCTTGAATCTGAGTTGTGTGTGTTTCCTGCTTTATTTTGATAGTCCCTTGTTGCGTGTTCAGTGTATTCAGCTTTGCTTCCTCCCTGACACATTGTGTCTGTTTACGTCCGGCTGTGTTCCCTCCTGTTATCCTCTGTGTATTTAAGTCCTCTGTGTTCCTTTGCTTATTGTCGTGTCGTCCCATGTGCTGTGTGTTTTCCTGTGTGATCCTTGGTACCCGTTTATTCCTCGTTGTTCCCCCTAGTTGTTTACTTCTGGTTCCTTGTTTTTGAGTTTTTGGTTATCAGAGCTTCTATGTTTAAATATCGTTATTTCAGCAACAAAGCTGCCTCCTTTAGTTCACTCCTTTTTTTTGAGTCCTGTGTTTTGGTCCTCATCCTGTCTGCCACACAGCGCCACCACGAGGCGTTGGTTATTGATGAAGTCTCTGAGGCATTTAATGATCACATGATTATTTTTTACAATGAGCACGACTTCTCATAAGTACAACACAATAGCAGTTCTGTGTTACTGTCAGCTACCATAACCATGACTGGCTTGGATTACTTTAGTAAGTGATTACTTTGACAGTCATTCATTTGTCTGAGGCACAAGTCCCATTGACTGACGCAACCCAGTATTGCCTTAATGCCAGATGAGGGCAAATTAATTTTTTCACTCTGTACTATGATGAACTATTTTCACAACAAACATATTAAAACAACATCAAGAAAAATGTTGAAACTTGTTATTAATGCTTAAAACATGGGGTGCCACACCCTGAACTAATTAATAATAAAACTCTGTTAACATGTTTTCTTTTTCATTACATTTCTTTCCACTACTAGTGCCTGTCCCCGAGTAACAATTATGGTTGTAAACACTGCATTTAACTGTTCAATAAAACATTTTCCACACTGTGTTACGTTCACCAAATAAAACCCACAGTACCAATTAATCATCAGTTGTCTTTGCCAGGTATACATTATTTTTCCTGTCTAGATTGATAAACAAGTTTATCACATTACTATGACTTTTCTCCTGTAACCAGACTCAATATTTATCCAACACTCTACCACACTTATCTTTGTTTACACATTAATGCACTTCTGTTCATCTTAGTGTCTTCAATCTGCATCAGTTTCTTATAACTGTCTCTCACACCTTCTATGTATATCTACAGGCCATCAAGACCTCACAGCCCCTGGGGGCAAATAGCTCCCATCTTAATACTTAAACAAATATTAAAACTTAATACGTTGTTGAGCTTCTCCTTCCTTTTGTCTCAGGCTTCTCTTTATTTGTTTTGTTCCCATCTGTATGGTTTTTCCACGGGCTGGCTGGTACATTGATGGAACAGGTTCCTGTGTATTGTGTCACTCTTTCCTCCTTTTGTGGTTTGAACTCATAAACTGGGATGCTAGGGCTTTTTGACTCACTAC